CCAAGAAACGAACGAGAGAGAGAGAGAGAGGACTCACCTGGCGTGGAGGACGACCACGCGATTCGGCGCCCCGTTCAGCCAGGAGTCCAGCTCCTTGCACAAGGCGCACAATCTTTCCAAACTGGGTGCCAGACCCTGAGGCCATCCCGCTTCCCTCGTGTTCGGCTCTCCTGCACGACCCGGTGACGAAAGATTGAATATCTGGAAACGACAAGACACCGTCAGAACAAATTCTAATTCCAAATTTCCCCATCGAACTTTTGCAATAATAAATCTTTTCTCCCAGTTAACGCGAGATATTTTAATTTCGTATCATCAACTATTGTGGCAATGGTTTAATCACTCCTTCAATTTATAGGGTGTATCGTAAAATTTAACAGGGTTGGAGAAGGAGGAGGAGGAATATAAGAGGTTATATAAAAGGTTGTCTCTATATAAAAGATTGGGATGAAGATAGTCGAAAGATAACGGTTCGAAAAATTCTTATAATCCCTCTCTCCAAATGTGTTCAAGACTCGTCGTCGATTCCTTTTATCGATCGAGCATCCACTTACCTTACTCCTCGAATAAGATATTCAAGGATTGATTAATAATATCGTCGATATTAGAGCAAGATTCAGAGGAGCTCGATGATACACCGGCAACATTATCCCTGTTAAGCTGTTCGATTTCCATCGGTTTAACAGGTATTGTTATTATTTAATAAAAACGTTATATCGGTTAAGCCGATCCATTAATCTCGCTCCGCTCACCATATAATTATCCGCGTGCTTTCCACGCAGAAGAGCGGTGGCGTGTTCGAGGACTCCTTGCGCATCTTCCCTGTACCAGAGCGCGATGATTCTTTCGGTGACGTAGCAAAGCTCCATCACTTCCGTCACACGGCCACCGCCTTTCCCAGATCCTGTCGTCGTCGCGTCCGCCCCGACGCCTGGCGTCCTCGCGGGTGTCGTCGTCGACGAGGACGTCTGAATCTGAAACGCATACCATATTTTCTTAATTAATCCCTTTCGGATTTTTCACTCTTCCATCCTTTTTAATAAGATATATATATATAGATAGATAGATAGATAGATAAAGAGAGAGAGAGAGAGAGAGAGAGAGAGAGAGAGAGAGAGAAGTAATA